GGTGCGGCTCCTGCTGCTGCTACTACCTAGAACGCATCAAATAAAAATTAAGTAGAAATATAGACAACTTTTATACATATGAAAAAAATTAATAGCGAAAAGGGGGGGTTTTGTCAAAGCTCGTAACCCGAAAAAGAATTAAAATAAAATAAAAATAAAGAACTTATTTATATTAAAAAAAATTACTTTTTTTTTTTTTGGAAAATAATTAATACCAAAAAGGAATATTTGGCAAATTTCGAAACCCCAAAAAAAAAAAAAAAATATATATATATATATATATATATATATATATATATATATATATATATATAAAATAAATAAATAAAGAACTCATTAATTAATTCGTTGGCTTTTTTACTTTCTTTTCCTTTTTTTTTAAGAAAAAAATAATACGAAAAATAGGTTCTTATACTATAAAATAATTTACCAACTGATCTTAATGCTTTTGACAAAGCTCGAAAGCCGAAATTTTTCGACATTGTGAAAAAGAGAGCGAGAGAGAGGAGAATAGTAAATAGTAAAAATGCAGTTTAATAAAATTCACATGAGTATGGAGTTTCACTTGTCATGAATAATAAAGTTTTAGTGTGAGACCCCCAAAAATAATATTGTTCTAAAGTTTTATTAGAAAGAGATAATCGAAGCGTTGAATTTATGTCATTAAAAATGATAACAATAATGTTATAATATATTCTAAAGTCTTATCAAATATTCAAAAAACTATACATTTCTTGTTTTGAAATACTGGTATAGTTGAAGTTATTTAGATGTCTTCTAATAAAATAATACTTTAAATTGAATATATATATATATATATATATATATATATATATATATATAGTCTTATCAAATATTCAAAAAACTATACATTTCTTGTTTTGAAATACTGGTATAGTTGAAGTTATTTAGATGTCTTCTAATAAAATAATACTTTAAATTGAATATATATATATATATATATATATATATATATATATATATATATATATATATATATATATATATATATTGGTCGAGTGTAATATATATAAAATAAATAACTAGATTTTGTAATATAATTTCCAAAATTATTCTACAACATTAATAAAAAGCTCTAACAAACATATTCTACTATGTGTTTAGAAGGCTACAATTAATATTTCCATGTTATGTATTGTTGGGCAAACATAATATATTTTATAATAATGGCTTGACCACTTTTATGAGGTCATTTGGACCACTATTTTGAAACCTCAAAAACCATTATTTCAGAGACTGTTTGTACGCCCCATTCATCGCTTGAGATGCCGAGGAGAAGAAGAACCAATTCATTCGTGGCCTCCAACCCGAAATCCGTAGAGACATTTGTATTCGGACGCCTCGACTTTCCGCCAACTTGTAGACAAAGCGCTCATAGCTTCCCAAGACGAGGGAGAAATTCAAACAAACGCCGACCGCCACCAAATTTCCAACGCCCATGGAAAAAGAACAACTTTGGCAACCGCCCATTCCGAGGGAAAGGAACGCAGCCCCTTCGCCAATCAACCGGACCACCGCCACCGCCGCCAAGGCCAACCTGCCCAAAGAGTCACTTCGGAGAATGCATACAAGGAACGAGGAATTGCTTCCGATGCCATCAGCCCGGACACATGGTAAAAGACTGTCCAAAACCTCCACCTGACGTCCCCGATCGAGTGTTCGCCATGACTCAAGAACAAATCAAATAAGACCGGTCTATGATAGCAGGTACCATATTTATACTCGAAGAACCAATATATGCTCTAATCGATTCCGGCTCTACTCAATCCTTTATATCAAATGACATAATTGCGCACTTAAATCTCGAACCGAATCGACTAAATTACGAATACCTAATTCTCATTCCCTCTGGCAAAGAAATGTGCTCCAATCTAGTCATAATCAATTGCTCGATCAAAGTTCACACCCAACCCATGAATTTCGATTTAATCCTCCTACCAATCCAAAACATCAAAGTTGTACTAGGCATGGACTGGTTAACCAAATTCAAAAACCAAATCGATTGTGCCTCAAAAACGGTTACCTTTCCCCTTCCGAACGGCGAAACCCTAAAATTCCGAAGTCAACCCAAAACCTCGATTCCAATCATCTCCGCGATCAAAGTAGTCAAACTTATTCACAAGGGTCATTCGGCTACTTAGTGTATATTCTGAAATCTGAATCTGATCCCAAAGCCCAAATTTCCGATAATCGAGCTGTCCAAGAATTCCCCGATGTATTTCCCAATGACATTCCTGGACTTCCACCCGATCGAGAAATTGAGTTCGAAATCAACCTCATCCCCGGAGCTACGCCAATTTCTAAAGCCCCGTACTGTATGGTCCCGATGGAATTAAAGGAGCTGAAGGACCAAGTTCAAGAATTGCTCGACAAGGGTTATGTTCGACCCAGCCATTCCCCGTGGGGCGCACCGGTTCTCTTTGTCAAAAAGAAAGAGGGATTCCTTCGCCTTTGCATCGATTACCGTGAACTCAACAAAATCACAATCAAGAATAAATACCCTCTTCCTCGAATCGATGATCTTTTCGACCAACTCCAAGGCTCATCGGTCATCTCTAAAAATCGACCTCAGATCCGGTTACCACCAACTCAAAATCAAAGAATCCGATATTCCCAAAACAGCTTTCAGAACCCGGTATGGCCACCACGAATTCGTTGTCACGCCCTTCGGTCTAACCAACGCACCCGCAACTTTCATAGACCTTATGAACCGAGTCTTTCATCAATACTTGGACCAGTTCGTAATTGTCTTCATCGACGAAATTCTCATCTACTCCAAACCCCAAGAAGAATATATGGCACACCTTCGCACTGTACTCCAAACTCTCCGATCGCATCAGTTATACGCCAAATTCAACAAATGCGAATTCTGGCTATCGAGTGTGGCTTTCCTTGGTCACATTGTTTCAGAAAGAGGAATCTCCGTCGATCCTAGCAGGATAGAAGCGGTGTCAAATTGGTCAATTCCGAAGAATACATAGAAAATCTGAAGCTTCCTTGGACTAGCCGGCTACTACCGCAAATTTGTGAAAGATTTCTCGAAGCTTTGTTGAGTGTATATTTTACACTCAATGTATACTTTCTTACGAGGATTTTTGAATACTTTTATTGATTTAATGATGCTTAATAAGTGGTTTATTGTATTTTAAGTACAACTTGACGATTTGAGAGTTCCAAGGACGAAACGAGCCAAAAAAGGTCAAAAACGGGCAAAAACGGAAGAAAACAAAAATATGCTGAAAATTGGAAGTCGCGGCCGTACCAAATTTAGCCTATTTTTGGCGCGGCCGCGCCGATTGCAGAATGAGGGCAGAAGGTTTCGGCGATTCTCGCGCGGCAGTGTGAGAATTGCACTAATTCTCGCGCGGCCGTGTGAAAACACGCTGGAGACAATTTTGGAGTTTTAATCACACAAGGAAACCTAAAATCTTCTACCAAGTTGGGACATCTATTTAAGGGCAAACCAAGCACGAATTAAAGACTACTGGAACAAAATCTTGGAGGAAAAGGAGCGAGAGAACGGAGAAACGAAGACGAAGACCTGACGAATTGATACGATCCGCACAAGGTACAAGACAAAGGATTGGAAGAAGAGAAAGCGAGTGAGATTAATGTTTTTGAATGTTTTTAATTTAGGGTTTATAATGTTTTTATTATTTTAGAGTCTTTTATGGTTAGGATTTGCTTATTGATTTATTTCCTTATTATAGTTTAGGTAGGAGTCTTTTTTTTCCTTGTGAAAAAAGAGTCTTTTTAGACCTTATAAATAGGTTGCCAATTTGGCTTATTTTATAGGACGAATTTTGATGATTTAATTGAGAATATTCTCTTTAAGAACTCTTCGAACATATCGGTGGATTCCGTTTGTTCACCCCGACTTATCAATCGATCTTTCACAATCGATTGTGGCGTCTTCGTCTTCACATACCAAGGTTCTTGCCTCTTTATAGGCAATGGGTCGCGGTTCCACCCTCTGAATCTTTGTTTTTGGATGTTTTTGGATGTTTTCGATCTTGCTTCCGCATAGGGTATTTGGGTCTCGTAACGAGTTCTACGGGGTTCGTATCAGTTGGTATCAGAACAGGTTTCACGTATCTTTATCTTTAGTTTTGAGTCCGTCTTGTTCGTGTCATCGTAGTTTTCTTTTGTCTTTTGTCGAGTCTTCTAGTCCTCTTTTCTCTTATTCTTCGTTCTATTGTTTAGAGTCAAAATAAAAATAAATCGAATTTTTGGTTATTTGTTTTGAGTTTCTTAGAGTATAAGTTAGGTTTTGTCTAGAGTCCTTGCAAAAAAAAAAATACAAAAAAAAAATCGAATTTTAATTTTTTGTTTAGATTTCTTTTAAGCCAAGTTAGGGTTTGTTCGTGTCAAACAAAAAAGAAAAAAAAATCGAATTTTGTTCTTGTTTAGAGTTTGTTAGTGTCAACAAAAAAAAAAAAAAAACATATTGATCATGTCCGAGAAAGCCGGTTATTACGGAGAAAAAATTGAGCAGCGTAGGATGTCGCCAATGGAAAACCGCTTCCTGGAACTCCAAGTTCGGATGGAATGAATTGTTACCCAACTAAAGGAACTACACAACGATCAACATGTTCGAGGGCCATACGTACGACGTGATGTTCACCAACCAGTTATACCTTATCCCGATAAAGAGGTAGATCGTGATGAAAATTTTGGTGTGAACACTATAAAATCAAGGAGGGAGAGTATGGGACGAGGGTCTGGAATGGATAGATCGGGCCGAGAATATTTTGGTCGAGAAAGAGATGGCATAGATCAAAACTTCAGCTCACTCAAGTTGACAATACCATCTTTCCAAGGAAAAAGTGATCCTGATGCGTACATTCAGTGGGAAAGAAAGCTTGAGCTCGTATTCGATTATCATTATTATTCCGAGAAGAAGAAGGTGAAGCTCGCCGTCGAAACGTTCATTGACTATGCAATTACTTGGTGGGATCAATTTGTCTTAACTTGGCGCCGCTGTGGTAAACCACCAATTGATGATTGGGAGTCCATGAAGGCAGTTATGAGAAAGAGGTTCGTTCCTGCCCATTATTATAGGGAATTGAAGATGCAAAGCATGAGGCAAGTTACTAAGTCAGAAGAACGGAGTTCGCCGAGGTGGGAATCGCAAAGGAGTTATCCAACGAGAATGGTGAGAGAATCGTTGCAAAAGCCTAAAAGAGAGAAATCAAAAACCGAGCAGCAATTCAAGACTAAGAGAGGAGAGTGTCCGAGCAAGCAATTCGTGAACTTGTGGTCCAACATTGAGGATGATTCTACAAAGGAGAAAAAGATTATTTACGTGTCACCACCTCAGAGGAATGATAACATTGAAATTCCCATGGAGAAAAATGTTCTAGACATCGTGGAAAGCATTGGTGTAAAAATTGAAGGGATGCAAGACGATATTGTTGAATTGCAGCCCAAGGAGGATGAAAAGTGCATAACAGCCCCACCACTTGAAGAAGAAATGGAAGGTTCGGATTCGAGGACGAATCCTTTTGAAGAGGTGGAGAATGATATGATCCAGCCATGCATCGAAGTTAATGCCGATCTAAGCAAAGTGCAAACTCTCAGTGTAAATGTTGATGAGATGGCGGTGCCTAGAGAGATGCTTCATCCATTCTCTATACAGAGGTTGAACGCATTGGAACTTCAAGCTACAAAATACTCGCGTTCATATCCACTTCAATGGATGCTAGATAGTGTGTTTGGCGATGTGGTGCAGAGATGAGTAAGTTCGGTACCAAACAAAGAGATCGATCTTGTTTATACTCCTTGTGATAATTGTCCGGATTCGAGGACGAATCCTTTTAAAGAGGGGGAGAATGATACGATCCGCACAAGGTACAAGACAAAGGATTGGAAGAAGAGAAAGCGAGTGAGATTAATGGAGCCGTTCGTGTTGGGATTGAAGAATAAAGGCTTGAATCAGGCCTTTGAAGAGTCCGTGGTTTGGAATTGGAAGAAAAGAAAGAGAAGAAGTCGTTGGACAAGTCGAATTCCATGCATCCGAGATTCTCGCCTATTTTGGCAGAGTTTACCATTCGAGTTATAACTCTCGCATCTGAAGTCCATTTAAGATTATTCAAAATGATTCGGAAAGCTAACTGAAAGATCTACAACTTTCATGTTTTGAGCGAAGAGATATTCGAAGTGGAACAGTGTCCAAATTGAGCTGTAATTGCATGCACGTGCACAGCCCAATGTCGCGAGTTAAGAAGGGTGATCGAGAAGTCGACTTGAAGATCGAGTTATTGAATTTACTTATTCACGTTTTAATTTAGGGTTTATAATGTTTTTATTATTTTAGAGTCTTTTATGGTTAGGATTTGCTTATTGATTTATTTCCTTATTATAGTTTAGGTAGGAGTCTTTTTTTTCCTTGTGAAAAAAAGAGTCTTTTTAGACCTTATAAATAGGTTGCCAATTTGGCTTATTTTATAGGACGAATTTTGATGATTTAATTGAGAATATTCTCTTTGGTTCTTTAAGAACTCTTCGAACATATCGGTGGATTCCGTTTGTTCACCCCGACTTATCAATCGATCTTTCACAATTGATTGTGGCGTCTTCACATACCAAGGTTCTTGCCTCTTTATAGGCAACGGGTCGCGGTTCCACCCTCTGAATCTTTGTTTTTGGATGTTTTCGATCTTGCTTCAGCATAGGGTATTTGGGTCTCGTAACGAGTTCTACGGGGTTCGTATCACGAATCTTCATCATAATTCTTCTTTCATCTATCTTTTCTAACTCTATGACTTTTGTTTATTTTATTATGTTTTTTGTAGAGAAGATGAGTAGCTAAGTTTTTAATCTAGGATTTTGTTGGAACCCTATGTGGGGATGGTGAGCCCGTTTTCTTGAGCTTATGCAATTATGATTTTATGATTATTTCTTCTACTTGTTATGATTGTTAGTGCATGAACCTGGTCAGTTTATGTGCTTTATCTGTGATTATTGAGATTGACTCGACAGAGCTATTTTGATAATTAGACGGTAAGTAAAAGAACCTTCGGGTAGTTTTCACCGGATGAGTGTGTCAATTGCATGTGGTGTCGTAGACATACAAATATCACCTTAGGTAGCCATTTACAAGACTTGTTAGTTAATGATTTATTCATAATTGGTTTGCATAGACATATAGTGAACGGTTTATGAATAATAGACTCATAATACACGCGACAGCAGGTTATGAGTAAATTAGTGTCTCGGGTTAATAATCAGGAATCATATATTTCATAATTGAGGGGTTTTGGGTGAGCAATTCTTGCATAGGGGGAAGATAAAATCCTAGGTCCGTTTTTATTGATATTTTCTCGTGTTTATTTGCTTTATTAATTAGTTTAATTATTTTGTTGATTAGATTTGACAACTTTGCGTAGGCTGGATAAAAATAATAATTGTTAGAATTTGGTACTTATGATTAGATAATTTGAGTATTCCCTGTGGGATCGACATCCGACTCTCACGAGTCCATTTTTACTACTTGTTTGCGATACGTGCACTTGCGTGTTAGGTATTTAGCCCAACAAGTTTTTGGCGCCGTTGCCGGGGAATACGGCTATATTATCTATTTATTCTAATATCAAATTTAAGCAATTTTTCTTACTTCAGCCGTTTTATTTATTTATTTTATTTGCTTATTTTATTTTTATAATTTTTGTTTTAGGTACTTTTTATGCGAATGGAAGAAGAGAATAATCGTAGGGGAGATGACCAAGGGCACCTACCGAATGCGGCAGGAAATATCATCAACGAGCAAGAGCAACGCCAACTCATTAATCCACCACCTCGTCAACGAGCATTGCATGAGTACACCGTTCTGACACTCAATGGGTTCCAATCGAGCATCCAACAGCCCCCATTGAAGCCAATAATTTCGAAATTAGAGCGGGACTCCTTATTATGCTCCAAAACAATGGGTTTTTTAGCGGATTAGCTCATGAAGATCCGCATCTCCACTTGGTCAACTTTCTCGAAACATGTGATTCGCACAAGATGAACGGAGTATCCCCTGAAGCACTGCAACTCCGCCTTTTCAAGCACTCTTTGCAAGGAGCAGCCCGAGAATGGTTACAAACTCGTGCACCGCACTCCATCTCATCTTGGCCCCAGCTAGCACAACTCTTCATGAATACGTACAACTCCCCAACTAAAACTGAGAGAATCCGGAGAGAAATACAAAATTTCTTACAAGAAGCCGGTGAAGCGTTGTTTGAGACGTGGGAGCGATTCAAAAAATTAATTCGGAGATGCCCGAATCACGGAATTCAAGAGTGGCGGCAACTTCAAATATTTTATGATGGATTGCAAGAAAATTCGAGAACGGTGTTCGATTCAGCAGCTGGCGGTATGTTCATGAGCTTGACCTATGACGAAGCTTACGAACTTTTGGAGCAGATCGCAAGAAACAAATACATGCGGGCATCGGACCGGTCAAATAGCGGAACCAAGAAGACGGGAGGAATTTTGGAGTTAGACGAGGTCACCGCAATCACTGCCCAGTTAGAAAAGCTATCAAAGCATGTAGCAACTTTGCAGACTCAGCAAGTCCATGCAGTCCAAGTTCCTGACCAGTGCTTAGAAGAAACGGAGTCTCTAAATTACGTGAATGACACCAACCGACAACAGAGGAACCCGTGCTCCAACACTTATAATCCGGGATGGAAAGATCACCCCAACTTTGGATGGGGAGGAAATCAGCAAGGACAAAGGCAAGCTCCCGGTTTCCAAAATTCGCCTAAATGTGGAGATCTCGCGAACATCTTAGCTCAATTCATGACATCAACTCAAGCGAAACACAGATGGGTCAACTTGCAACCCAGCTAAATGTGAGGCCATCGGTAGCACTGCCGTTGAATACGGAAGATCCTCGGAAGAGCAACATCGAGTAGTGCAATGCTGTAAGTTTAAGAAATGGGAGACAATTGGAGGAAGCCCCACGAAAAGAGAAGAGAAACACAGTAATCGAGAAGCCGAGTGTGATTGGGGAAAAAAGAAGCAACTCACGAAGAATCACTATCATCAACAGTGAAATCACGAGCCCCTCCAATTCCATATCCTCAAAAGCTTCTAAAGAAGAAGCTCGATGCCGATTACCAAGGGTTTTTGGACAAGTTGAAGGAAATTCACGTAAATATCCCTTTTATGGAAGCCCTTCAAAAGATGCCAAAGTGGGTGAAATTTCTCAAGGATCTCGTGACAAAGAGGAAGAAATTGCAAGGGAACGAGATGATCCAACTCACGGAGCAATGCTGTGCAATTCTTACACGGCCTATTCCACAAAAACTCGGCGATCCAGGTAAGTTCACTATTCCTTGTACTATAGGAGGTAAAAATGTTCGATCGCTCATTGATTTAGGTGCTAACATTAATCTTATGCCTTATTCCACTTATAAAAATCTTGGGTTATGTGAGATTGAACCGACGGCTATAACTCTTCAATTAGCCGATAGGTCTTTAGTTTACCCAAAAGGTATTTTAGAGAATGTGTTAGTAAAAGTGAAAAAAATTATCTTCCCTGTTGATTTCATTATACTTGATATAGATGAAGATAGGGAGATACCTCTTATTTTAGGGAGACCGTTTTTAGCCACGTCGAAAACTCTAATTGATTGTGCTAGTGGTGATCTTACAATGACGGTGCATGATCAAACGATCAAATTTAACGTTTTTAGTGCAAATAAAAATCCATGTGATAATAATGATTGTTTTGCTATTGATCTTATGGATTTTACAAATCATGAAAATTTTGATGTTTTGATCTTGGACCATGGGAAAACATCTTTGAGTGCAGCAGATGATGGCGGAAATGGGAGTCGGAAGGAGCAAGTTATTTTATGAACTCAATTTGAACTCTTCCGAGAGATAGTCAAAAGAGTTGGGGTGCTAACGGCGATGAACGTGCAAGGAGGATGTGGCCACCTAAGCGAACCAGTCGAAAGAAGAATCGGATCATCCCATTTATTCAAGACTTTCTCCAAAAAGAAGTAAGGAGATGGGTTCAAAAGCTAAGGAATTGAAGAGCATGAACAAAGTCTGGCTGAAGACTATAAACTTAGCGCTTCTTGGGAGGCAACCCGAGATTTTTCGTTTTTTTTTTTATTTATTTTTTCTTGTTTTATTTTATTTATTTATTTTATAAGCATGCAAGCTAACAATTTAAGCATATTTTTAATTTTCAGGTCAAGAAATCGCAACTCTGGAGCTCATATGGCCGTCCCAAAACAAAGCAAAATATCATACGGCCGTCTGGAAAATCTGGGAAGCTACTGCCCAATTTTGGCTTGGGGCGCAGCCGTGCGAAAAACACACTATAATCTGACGCGGCCGTGCGAGAAATAGACAACTACTGCCTGCTTTTGGCAATTCGCACGGCCGTGCGGAAAACAGTTCAAAACCTCATACGGCCGTGCGAAACGCAACAGAAGCATAATAAAAGCGAGGGTGAGGAGTAACCCGGTCATGGCCAAGACGACTGATTCAAGTGTATTCTATCCTTAAACTTCGTGCTAATTACATTGAGGACAATGTAAATTTTAAGTTTGGGGGTGGATAATTACTTGTTTTTATGCGCTTTAATTTTTAGTTTGCATGCCTTAGGATTTTGTTTTTTATTTTAGTTATTGCTTTCGAAAAAAAAATTGAGATAAATGCTTCGATGAATCATGGTGATGAAAGATGGTTGATGTGTAATGATGAAATTGCTTGATTTAACTTGATTGTGATTGAATTTTGGTGAGCATTTGATACAAAGTGTCGTAGGAAGGAGTCATTGTTAGGAATCACGAATTATGCCTTGCTTTGGTTGAAAGTTTTGTTTTTAAAACGTGGAATTAATTTATGCTATATCATATGCTATTCGGTTTTAGAATTTGCCTTAGGAATTTACAAAGTGAAATATTAAATTGTTGAGCAATTTGGGAAGTGATTTGGGCCACCTTTGAACCGTTTGAGCCTTTCAAGCCTACCTTTAAATTTTTATGATTCGAACCTTAATTGAGCCTTGGAGAAACGGTGTTCTTTCTTTGAGCCGAAATAAAGTGGGTAGATTAGATGGTTATTTCTTGATAAATTTTCCCTTGGAGCTTCGTTGAAAAAAAATTGTTACCTTTTTCTTCTTTGTAAAAACAAAAAAAAAAAAAAAAACAAAAAAAAAGAAAGAAAATACAAAAAAAAAAAAAAAAAAAAAAGAAGAAGAGAGATAGAAGGGGAAGAAAGGACTTGAGAAATATTTTTAAGTAAAAACTCGAACCATCATGTTAAGAGCAAAAGTGGAGACGTTTGAACTCTTAATCGAGTTAGGTTATAAGTCCTTCGAGGTGAGCAATAATTCCAAAAGCTAAATCCTAGCGAAAACACCTCTAGTCAAGAACGAGAGTTAAAAATTCCGTCAAGTGCAACTCTTAGTGACTAATTGTGAGATGAAAAGAGAAGATTAGCCACTTTTACCCATATTTTCTACCTTGTACCAAAAGCCCAA